CAACAGATGCATGATTAAGGAAAATGTGTTACTTATACACAGTAGAGTACTATTTAGCCATAAAAAGAATGAAATCCTGTCATTTGCAACAATATGGATGGAACTGGCGGCCATTGTGTTAAGTGAAATAAGCCTGGCCAGAAAGACAAACATTGCATGTTCTCACTTATTTGTGGGATCTAAAATTAAAACAATTGAACTTATGGACAGAGAGAGTAGAGGATAGTTATTCGAGGTGGGGAAGGGTACTGGGGTCGGGGGGAGATGGTAGTGGCTAATGGGTACAAAAATAGTAGTTAGAAAGAATGAGTAAGACCTAGTATTTGATAGCACAACAGGGTGACTATAGTCAATAATAACTTAATTGTACATTTAAAAATATCTAAAAGTGTAATTGTATTGTTAATAACACAAAAGATCAATGCTTGAGGGGATGGATACCCCATTTTCCAAGATGTGGTTATTACATATTGCATGCCTGTATCAAAACATCCCGTGGACCCCTTATGTATATATACCTACTATGTACTCACAAAAATTCAAATAAAATTTAAAATAAAAATCTGTGTTATGCTAGATTAAGGACTAAATTTAATTTTACTGGAGGTTGTGTTGTTTCTTTATGCATTATTTTCTTATCATAAATTCTGAAGTTCATTCTAGGGCTATTTGAAATGATTACTTATATGATATATGAAACTTATACACTATACTAAACTTTGATATACTATACAGCAAAAGAGGTAGTGGTTTATGTGTGAACCAGTATGTTTTTGGTCTTCTTCAACAAGGATTAGAAATTTTTTTTTCAGGGCAAAACCCAGAGGCTGATTGTATTGTGATTAAGGACTTAATCATTAATTAAGAACATATATTTCAGCAAAATACCCCATATATTTCTACAAATAGTAGACAAAAAAAATTTATACCAAAAAAAGTTATATAAATACAGTTCCTTGAAATGTTTACATGCTTCATGAGCATTTGACAGGACATGAAAGATGATCACTGTCCTTGTCAAATGTTGTTATTAATTTGTTCAAATGGTGCTATTCAGACTATTCTGCAAAGAAACTCAAATGGCATAGATGCTTATTTGTGTTACTGTGTTAAGGTGAATTAAGTACAGAGAAAACCAAGCCAGTTTAATCCCCCTCTCTAGTATCTTACAGCTATTAAAATAATGTCTCCGAACATTTTTATAATTTTTTTAATGTAACAGCTGTTTAAGTTAAATAGGGCCTATGGAAATAGATTCAATTTGTAAAGGAGTTAATTGAGATATATTGAGACTTAGTTAGTTATTCAAGGTTATATATTATATTAAGACTGTCATCACAACCAGAATCTGGAGCTCTTGACTCCTAGTGCAAGGAGTTGCCAACTTAAAGTTTATAATCTAGGGGATATGATCATCTAGGGGAGATGATTCTGAAAATACAAGAACATTGTTTAAATTGCTGATCTTTTGTTAAGTGCTTATTTTGTGCAAAATATTATGTCATTACTTTTGTTTGACAAAAAGATGAAAAATATCATAATTGCCCTTGAAGTTACATTGTGTAAAGATGATACAAATAGTAGACAAAAAGTATGTAAAAAGTAACGTGTTTATATCATATGAAAGCTAAGAATACCTTTTAGAGCCAATGCAGTAGAGAACACCCTACATACTAATATATAGTGAAGGAGAAGATTTGGAGGAAATAGCCTCCTCTGATTATGTAGGAAGAGAATAGCTCTGAGATTGACAACTAATACCTCTTAAATAAGATTATTAGGGCAGTTAGGTTGAGCAGAGGTAGTTCTAAAAGCTATTTATAGTTAAGATGGAATGCTAAATAGTGTAATCATAGAGATAACTGAGTCCTTGGAAACTATCTAGTGCAGGCACTAGTTTTACAGTTAAAGAAACCGAGACTCAGAGTGATTCTGAGTTATTTGTTTGAGGTTAGTTATATAGCTGGATACAGCCAAAGCTGGAATTTGATCCCTTCCAAATGACTGGATATGAAAAAAACTAGGAAACAGATTAATAACAGAATCTAGAAGGTGGCAAATTCTGGAAGTGTATTGGAGGTGTAGAGTATAATTTTTGCCAAGATGTAATTTCCGTCAGTCTTTGCAAGAGGGGAAAGAGGAGTGTTAATTTTTGGTTTCTTGGGCGAAGTCAATCAAATACTAGGCTGTAGTGATCCATGCAACAGTTTGAAAAGTAGGATGAGCTACTTGATAGCCTTTAGGAAAATGACCCTCCCAGCAACGTATAAGGCATTTTATTAATAACAATAACAAATGTAATAATGATGATATTAACAATGATAGCTATCATTTATTGAATGTTAGGCATCATGTCAAGTAACTGTGTATAGTGGTTTATTTAGTTATTCTAACCCTGTGACCTAAGTATTTACATGCCATTTTGTCAATGAAGAAACAAAAACTCTGATAGGTTAAGTCATTATCTAGTCACACAGGTAGTCAGCTGTAGAATCAAATTTTGAATCCTGATCTCTTAGAATTCTAAAAATAGTGTATCTCAAACTTGAGTAATGAATAGGCCCTTCTTCTAAAGGGGAAAAGATAATCTTCCCACACCCCATACTGACGTATTTTTATTATAAGATTACTTAACTAGGTATAAACACAAATTCCTTAAGTTTTTAGCTCATACTGTATAGTTTAAAAATTAAATTAAATACAAGCAAAACTTACAAAATCAGTAAAATTCGAATTTATGACATTAATTTAATGTAAAACATGTTTTTTCCTGAAATGAAGATGCTGATTGCAAGATGAATTTATAGCTAACTACTACTGTATAGGTTCTTTTGAGTTTGGCATGCCTATACTGCCATGTGCTTTGTGATAACTTGGTTCTCCCACCACTTTTCTCTATTCAAACTTCTTCAAAATATCCCTTCAGGCAATACTGTCTATTATCTAATACCTTCACTTGGTGTAATCAGTTATTTATTGTTAATCTTGCCTCTGTTTTCAGTAGTTGTGTCAGACTGCCGCTTGATACCAATTTAACAGTTTGGGGCTCTGAATTGTCGTAGCATTGTGTATTTAGTTATAAGGTGATGGTCAGCCATGTGATCCATATTATGTTTATGTTAATTATCTTTTAGGTTATCATCGAGAGGGAACCACAAAGTTAAAAAAAAATTCACAGACTCTGCCAATCTTAACCAGGCCTTTGTTATTTCGACCTAAAGAAAAATTGTACTGCACTTTCTGTCAAAACTCTATACCCTAGTACTACCTGGTTTCTGTAGGGTAGTAGTGGAGATCCAGAAAATTTGCCATCTCCATCCATTTCAGTTCAGGCCTCTAACATTTTGCATCTGAATTTCTGCCACAGCCCTCAGTTTTATTCCCACCAAACTGCTTTCCATAGTGTGAGTTTTTAAGAATATAAACTTCTAGGACTCAGCTTAACAATCACATCTTCCTGGAAACTTTCCTCTATTGCTTCTCCTATGTCTAGCTTCCATCTGTCATATTTCACCATTTTCTCTCCTAGATTGAATTAGTTAGCTTTTCTTCCTGTTTCTTCTTTATAACTCCATAACACTTTGTGCACACCTCTGTTATGATGCTTAGCATATTGTATTGTAATCCTTATTTTTTCAGTCTCCCAAGTAGAATATTAACAGC